GGTGAACATGTTGGTATTCTTGTGGGACAAAAACATGCACTGTCACCGACAGCAAGTTTAGTTTTACTTTTCTGTTTGTTTTCATTTTGAAAAGCTTTATCTTTGCTGTTTACCTCACATTATGCTATGGAGGCTCTCTTTTTATTTATTTGATTCCTCAGTGTTTGCTAAACGTTCTGTAATTTATTAGTCGGTATATAATACAGCATGTGGTGTGTGTCATGCCTCATCTTAGTTTTTGTTAATAAACATTTTATAAGCTAGTTTGTCATTGTATCTTACTGTTGTATTGTTGTTATGCTTTTTAATTAAGAATAACAATTAATCCATATTTTGTTTTAGTCTTAAAAAAATGAAAGGTGTGTAGATGTATGTAAGCAAAACAGTGACAACAAGATCGCGAAGACCCGGATCCGGACGAGAATCGCACCCGTTACACGGTCGTCAGACCAGGATGCCGGGTTGTCTAGTCCCTTCGAGTGCCGTGGGCAACGAGAAGGATGCAGCCGCTGGAAGAAGCCGCCGCCCCTCGCGCCCCGGACCGGAGAGGGGAGCGCGTGCGGCCCTTCCTTCCTGAACACTGCCCTTCCCTTCACGAACCCCGCAGCAGGACGAGGACACCAGATCCCCTGTTTATTTTGGACACGTTGTTCCCGTTTCTGGACACTTTGTTGATTTTCTGTTAATAAAAGCCTCTCCAAGGCCTGACGCCACACCCACTGTGTATGTCCTTTGCTCCTCCCGCCACAATATAGGCCTATATAAAAAAAATTATTATCAAACCATGTTTTATAACAAGGTATGCACATAATTAGGACAATACAGAAGTAAGAACATGACCGACCAATTTTACTAATCTCTACAACTTGCAAGGATTAGTGCTTGACACATCCACTAAAATGACTTTGGGAGTAGCTGGTTAAAACTCAAAGTAAATGTGATGCCGTTTATGAAAATACCATAAACATGTTACACTCTAGAACATTTTGTGATCTCTCTGCACCAGTGACATACTTCCTGCTGCTTAAATTGCTTCAACTATAATGGAACAAACAACACTCCTATATTAATTATCTAACAGAAGCAAATCAATAAGAGACGAGAAAAGTGACAAGAGCAGATGTTGCTAGAGTCTGTAAGCTAAACAGCCCACATTCTTTAGACCAGGGCTGTCCAAACTCGGTCCTGGAGGGCTGGTGTCCTGCAGAGTTTAGCTCCAACCCTAATTAAACACACCTGAACCAGCTAATCAAGCTCTTACTAGGCATATAAACTTCCAGTCAGGTGTGTTGAGGCAAGTTGGAGCTAAACTCTGCAGGACACCGGCCCTCCAGGACCGAGTTTGGACAGCCCTGCTTTAGACATTTTGACATACTCTGAAAAACAACATTAAATTGAAGTGAAAGCAAAAAAGAAAATGAGTGAGTGGAATCAAAGGGAAGCCAGAATGTTAGTCTACTGTGTGTGAGTGTGACAGTAGGGTTGTAGAAGTACAGTAGCCAATAACAAATATTAAATTTTTCTTAACACAAAATTTGATACAATAACAAAAACTTTTATGCTGTTATGACAGAGTTATATGACAGAGTTGTAATGCCACGTTACAGAAAAAAATATAAATAAATAAATAAATGCATTCTAAGATTAAAGAGAATAAAGTCAATGTTATAAGAACAATTTCATAATAGGCCTTTTACAAGAAAAAATTTATAAAGTTTGAAGAATAATGTTGTAACTTTGAGTTTAACGTAGTAATATTTCTAACTACAGTAAATAATTAGAACTAAAAATTATAAGTTATACATATTACATGTTAATGTGACACTATCACTGACATACCTTTATTTAGACTTTTCTCATTTAAGTAAACATTATGTATTTGTTTGTTTGTTTAAACAGTAAAGCAATACAACACAGATACAAAAAAATTATGTGGTTTCAGGTAACAGCAGTATGAAGTAATCAAATGTAAACTAAACCTTAAATTGGTGGCATGTCTTTATTTTACAATTATTAGATACGTGCATTAATACTGTCTGAATTTGACTGAGAATCTGTATGTATTAAAATAATTAGTATTTTTCCTTTTAATCGATTAATCCCTGTTTCCAATGAACTAGAGACACACTATTAAAGGAATAGTTGACCCAAAAATGAAAATTTGCTGAAAAAAATTTGCTAAATTTTAGGCCATCTAAGATGTAGATGAGTTTGTTTCTTCATGGGAACAGTTTTGGAGAAATTTAGCATTACATAACTTGCTTATCAATGGATCCTCTGAGACTGTACTAGTGTAATGCTCTCTTAGCAGGCCTCCCGGCATGTACTATCAAGCATCTGCAACTGATCCAGAATGCTGCGGTAGGAGTGGTCTTCAACGAGCCGAAGAGAGCACACATCACACCTCTCTTCATCAGTTTGCACGGACTGCCGATAGCCGCTCGCATTAAATTCAAGGCACTGATGTTTGCCTACAAGACAACCACTGACTCTGCACCAAAGTACTTAAACTTGATAGTTCAGACTTATGCGCACTCCAGAAGCTTGCGTTCTGCAGAACGACGCCTCATGGTACCCTCCCAAAGAGGTACAAAATTACTCTCACAGACCTTTACCTGGACTGTTCCAAGTTGGTGGAACGACCTGCCTATCTCAATTCGAGCAGCTTTTGTCTTTGGCCATTTTCAAAAAACGTCTAAAGACACATCTTTTTTCGTCAGCACTTGACTAACTAATGCTAACACTTTCTTATTCTATTTGTCTCTTTTTCTGGAAAAAAAGAAACTGGTATGTGTACTGTGCTAGACTAACTGAGACGTGTTACAGCACTTGAATACTGTTGCCCTCCTATTGGTCAGAATTGCTTATATTTGCTCTTCTCATTTGTAAGTCGCTTTGGATAAAAGCATCTGCTAAATGATTAAATGTAAATGTAAATGTACAGTAAATGGGTGCTGTTTTTATCCAGCTGTATTTACTCAGTGCAACTTATAACATCCAAGTGAAAGATATAACACCAATATGTCAGAAATAATAAATAAATAAATAAATAAATAAAAACGTATAAACTAATAAAGAGTTGGAAGTATCACCCCCTCCTAAAAATGACTTGTAAACTCAATCAGGTTTAGCTAATCACCTTCTCAACGGCACACAAAGCCATTTGACTTTCAACTGTGGTCAGTTGTGGTCATTTTGATTAGCTCAGCAGGAAAAGAGATTTTCCTGGAGCATTTCAGTCCTTGGTAGTGCAACTGAAACAAACAACCAACTAAAATATCTCTGGGATAAAGTTGTGAACTGGCACAATGCCTTTGCGTTGTCTGCAAAACGTGAGAAGTCACACCAAGGCAAAAGGCAGTAACTTCCACATTATCAATATTTGGTTGCTGATCACCATTTACAAAATCGTTATAGTAACACCTGTATAAAATCTAGTGATTATGGGCTATCTCATATAGGCTATTGCATAATAGTAATGTGACTGTATACATTTTTTTGGTTCCACTTTATATTAAGTGGCCTTAACTACTATGTACCTACATCAAAAAATAAGTACAATGTACTTATTGTGTTCATATTGTATTGCAAAACACTTTTGCTGCTATTGAGGTGGGATATGGGTAAGGTTAGAGACAGGTTTGGTGGTCTGGGTAGGTTTAAGGGTGGGTTAAGGTGTAAGGGATGGGTCAACAGTGTAATTATAAATGTAATTACAGAAATTAATTACAGATGTAATTACATGAAGGTATTTTTAAAATATAAGTACAATGTAAAAACATGTATGTACACAATAAGTGCATTTTACTAAATTATTAATTTAAATGTAAGTGCATAGTAGTTAAGGCCACTTAATATAAAGTGGGACCATTTTTTTTTTTTTTTACCGTAACAAGCAGACTAAAAGTTAATGTGAGTGGATACCGTGGATACCAATTTATTTGCTATGCTCAATAACGTAAAATAATGCTAGACATAGCATATTGCTTTTATATTGACTTGTATTAAATAGCCTAAACTAAAAGAACAACTTGTGGATTGATGTGAACGCCAGCAAGCAGGAATAGGCCTAATGCCCAGAATGCTGGTGGATTAAATG